AAATTGATTAGAGATCTGCAACTTCACCGAATGCAAAATAATAATTTATATAAACATTTTTTTTTTAATTATATAATTTTTTGATGACCAAAATTTGATAAGTATTGTGTTTATTTTTATTCTTCTTCTTTTATTTTTGGGTGTAGAATAAAGCATATTATTATTATTATTAGCTAAAATCTTAAAAGCATTCACACACTAATTGTTTTTGTGGGATGGTATACAATTTCTATGTAGACATAGCTTGTTATATGTTTGAGATTTTCGTTTTACAATTCGACTAGCTAGATCCGTTGTGGACACTCTAAAGTTAAATCATGCGTTGTAGAGCACAAGTGGCTACACAACGAGGGGGATCGTATCAAGTTGTTCGCTGGCTTCCACGAAGCTCTGCCTTCGATGAAGCTTTAATGGTCTAGAACTGAAAGTGCGATCGTTCAATAAAGATAAAGATGAGGCTAGGACTGACGCGATAGAGTACTTTTTAGAGTTCCGTACCCAAAGGGTAAAACGGGACCCTATTACTAACTCTGCCGTCTATCTGTCTGTCTGTTTGTCTGTCTGTCCGTCCGTCTGTCACCAGGCTGTATCTCATGAACCTTGATAGTTAGACAGGTGAAATTTTCACACATGATGTATTGCTGTTGCCGCTATAACTACAAATTAAAAAGAAAATTGTGGCACTGGGGGACTGCCGCGGTAAAGCTATTGCATAGCATTTTTTATCAACTTATGCAATTATATTTATTTATTTATTTTTTATTTAATCAGTATTATTATTAATATCTGTTTTATTGTTATAGTATTATTAACATCGTTTAAAATATTTTTATTATCTTACAATACATGTAGGTTATTGAGGAATTTTTATCATTAAAACTATATGTTTATGGTAACTGAAATTAGAAACATAGATTTGAGACTTGATATCCTCTTTTTCTTTTTCTTTTGTTTTTTATAAAAACACTGCCCTTACTTTAGGATAATATTATCATGTGTTGTAAAGTACGTTTTACTAACATAAATTTCAGGACAAACACCCAGATGCGAAACAACTATCTGTGGATCACACAAATAGTTGTCCCGTGTGGGAATCGAACCCACGACCCCTGACGCCGAAGCCAATACCTTGGCAACTGCGCCACGGAGTCATCATATATCCTCTAAATATCATATTATCATATGATAATATAATATTAAAATATACCATCCGTGCGAGCTTCGTACAGTCGTACCATATACATACATACACGTTAGGCGAACGCTCGGCCAAATTACATGGTAGGTGGAATGGGGGATGTTAGTTTTTATTTTTGTTACGGAATTTCTTGATTCGGTCGCCGCGCTCAAAGACCGCGATAAAAGCTATGCCATAGCTTAAAAATCAGAATAAAAATGTTTAAGTGGAGCTTCCATACAACAGACATGATTTTGTTATCGTTTTTATAGATAATGGTACGGAACCTTCGTGTGCGATTCCGACTCGCACTTGGCCGGTTTTTATTTAATTTCATCGCGGCTGCGCCAAAGCATGTCGCAACAAGAAAAGCGATTAAACCACCCTGTTCAGCTAGCGACGAAAAGGGGATAAGCGCTCCGTGAAAAGAATTACCTCACAGCCGAGCGAACGCTTCGAATGGCGTGAATTCGGCGATTTACTCTGAGAAGCGTAGTCTGAATGCAGATGGTTGGAAGGCACGTTTATCTGGGTTCCGTATGTTGTCCCATTAAATATTTTTGACTAGTTTTCATCGTCAGCACGAACGCAAGTAACAATGCGGAACCTTAATTATGTATTGAAGTTACTGATCTGCATTTCTATGATGCCTTGTTACTAAAAAAATATTTGAAAGAAAATTAATTTTATAAGATCAAAGCGTTGTCGTATTAGCTCTCCGATTGGTAGACTGAATTAGTGAAACGTTGATAGACATCTTTCTGACATCTATTCGAGCTGGAAACATGTATGATTTGAATAAAGACCTTTGACTTCATGAATGAATTTCTTTGCTCGTGGTTCTTATAGGACCACAAAGCCAATCAATGACAGAAAAATTACTCATAAGCTGCGAGTTAATAAATAAGAATAGAATTTTCGGACACAATAACATTATTCTTTTCCACGGATACGTAAATCATCACTTGATAGCTTTATGTACATAAGGTACCATCTGCTTATTTACTAAATATTTGTACGTAATAATGTAATTCAAATAAAATCTGTTGTATTCAATCTTAAATTGCAAATTTAACTTCTTCTAAATCGCAACTCAAGATCAAATCACAATAAATAACAGCTACTTAAAATATGATTTTTATAGACGTTTAACGTCAAATTATTCGTGTTCATTTAATTCATTTTACATTTAAAAAATCGTTATTGGTTAAACCTGCTGTCGGAGAGAAATATATTGCTTTAGTTAATTTTCTCAGTTATCAAACTAAATAGCCGATAATTTTAATCCAAAAAAGCTAACACCTTCACTGGTTAAAGTTAAGATATAACATATAAGTACCCGGAGGACCGAGCTTTGCTCGGTTTGTTTTTTTTTTGGTAAATCGTGTGTTTTGGAAATTACATTTAGGTACAAATTACTGAGTAATGAAATATGCGTAATATTTTTCGATCTTACCGACCTAATAGTAAGAAAATATGAAGTGGCGTTTGTCACAAAAGAAACAACTTTAAAAAAAAGGGAAAAAATTACAAAATAACAAATCGACAAAAAAATTAAAAATAAAGAAAGCAATGATCTGGAATCGAAAAAAAGTAATTTCCAAAATACACGATTTACCAAAAAAAAAACAAACCGAGCAAAGCTCGGTCCTCCGGGTACTATATATATATATATATATATATATATACAAGAATTGCTCGTTTAAAGGATAAGACTAACAAAATAAATAATAAAACTGCGTTATATTATCTTGGAATATAATTATTAGTTCCTACATCTTAGTCTAAACATAGTTTAAAGATAGTATGTATTGTGTTCTGCGATTAGCACCTGGTAAGCCCCTAGATCGTTTGATTCTTTCTCAATAAAACGATCGTTTCATACCTTGAGAGTCACTACCAAGCTTTGGTCTGTATATCATATTCCGCATTAGTGCGGAAATTGGGAGGGACAGATAAGTATTTTTTTAACAAACGAGCCCTATTCGTTTATTCTTTAGCTGTTCAAAATTCAACAACCGTTCGTAACAAAATGAGAATCCCACAAAAAGATATCGTTCTCAAATTTCCCCGGCACGTGCTTCATTTTCTATAATTTAACTTCTAATGTAACTGCTTGTTAAAAGAGCTGACTTATATATTGATCCCTAACAGTGTCATTCCTTATCTCAATTATAATGGTTTTCGATAAAAATGTTTTAATTTAGAAGTTTAAACGAATGTGTCATTCTAGTCCTTGATTACTTAGGGGATTAAGATTTCCAATTTTCAACATGACCATTCTTTAAAATATATCATGAAAATACATCATTTCTTAAGAGCAATTAACTGTTACGTTTCTTAATTGTCCACAGCAAGTAATTATATTGCTGTTACAATGCAACCTTCATTAAACATCATCAAAAGTTTCTGTTTGTGAATATTATTAAATTTCAGGCCATTTTATGTAACTCTAGGTACCACTCAAATAAACTTTGATATTGTGAACAAATGTGATCATAGCTTGAGTCTATTTAACCGTGGTAATACGCAATAATCGGTATAAAAAGGTATATTCCCTGCATCTATTGCAATTGCTAATTCAGTCAGATTAACCACTTTATGTTTTTGATGGAATGCCATAGAACGTCTTTCATCTCATGCGGAATTAATAGTGCCGCGTTTAAACATTTAATTGGACGACAGATAAGCTTCCTTTGAGTCCGTATAACAGTAATAAATTTGCATCTTCTAGAGCTCGTAAAGAAGGAGTGATAAATATAAACTGCTCTTCCGAAGCGGGGCCGCCGCTTTCTAGGAGCTCTCACGCTACGTGAAACGGTTAAATCTGATGGCTACTTAATCTTGCCGATGCAAACGTCTGTGCACCGCTACCGACAATTAAAACTTTCACAGCATCTGCAACTTGGAACTGCTGTTGCGGATTGTATCTTAGGAGCGTTCTTCGATTGTTTTTCAACGGGCGGCTGCTCTCCTCTATACAAGTTTATTGGTTATCAAGTTTTGCTTTGTTTGGCTTGTTTGATAACTTAATATGGCGAGATTTTTAATGGTAAATTGTGTTTACTTTCTTTCTTTGTTTGGGTAACTTGATATGGTGAGGTTTTTAATTAATGATAAATTGTTTGAACTTTTTTTACAAGGAGCGGGGAGAGATGCACCTGTCTAACTTAAATGTGTAGGTACAAGTACCAAATGCATAGTAAGTTCATTTTATGGCGGATTTAGTACATTGATTTGTTTTTCCCATTCTCCGCAGTAGAACATAGGCAACCGACAGAGCTCAGAGGTAATAGTAAGCTGAAGTGACACTTGGCCGGCCATGTAGCTCGAGAAATGGATAACGGATGGGAAAGATCAAAGATCGAGTGGGAGCCTCGTATGGGCCATCGTAATGTAAGACGATCCCCTTAATGGAATAACGACCATTGTACGCGGGTAGTCGATGGATGCTGGTGACTCAGGGTCGTGGATCATGGCACTCTATGGTGGTCGATGTTCAGCAGTAGGCTCAATCAGGCTGAAGTGATGATGATGACTCTCCGACTCCCAGATGAAGGAGACTATGACCATAGTACCGGTCCGGCTCCGAATTTCCAGCGAGTGGCTGGCCAGTATGATGAATTAAAGAATTCATTTAAACATTTTTTTCGAAAGGCTGTCAACGCTTTTGACACCCTCGGAGTAGCAGATGTCTATGGGCGGCGGTATTCACTTAACATCAGGTGAACCGCCTGCTCGCTTGGCAACTTTTCACATATAAAACATTTCTGAAAATAGTGCGGTTTTTATCAAAACGTAAAGGAATATCTAAACAACTTACCGTTCGTACTTCGCTCTCAGCCCCGTTTGCTAAGTACTGCATTTGCTTTAGGTTTGGTGCAAGCAGTTGTCTGTAAAGAAAAAAAATAATACATGTCAATAAGGATTTCATTAATAATTATGTATATAATTGTGTGACGACTCCGTGGCGCAGTTGCCAAGGTATTGGCTTGAGCGTCGCGAGATTTGGGTTCGATTCCCACACGGGACAACTATTTGTGGGACCCATAGATAATTGTTCGCATCTGGATGTATGTCCACATGAAATTGATGTTTGTAAAGCGTCCTTAAAAATAGAATAATGTTGTAAGGGCATTTTTTTTTTTTTTTTTTTCAATTATATGAATTAAAAAAAAATACGAAAGGTTGTATAAGAGCTGTCGAGACTGGTAGCTTTTATCTTAAATGCAAAAAAAAAAATACAATGTTCCACCGACACTAAAAATTTTGCAAACCTTAAACTAGTATACTGAAAACCGATGTTAATGTACTTTCCCAATGCACTTCACTGTTGTCAATGAGCATTTAATCTTTTATCATTTTTTTATCTTCATTTAAAATTTATTTTTCACAAACATAGGATACGAGCACAGGTGATTAAACTTTTAGTCATTTTACTTTTATTATGCTGAAGAAGTATAACTTCTTACGTACTTAAGTACTTACTTCTTTTTTCCTTACTTAGCAAATAGGCGTGGCGTAGATTCTAGCCTAGAAAATAATATATTATGTATATTCAGTTACGTACTATCCTGATATTTTTACACCTAAATATTTGGTTCTTGAATCGTCACTTCAATACAGGGGAATTTAAATTCTGTGATGAATTTTAAAATGAAATCAAAAGATAGGAAGTCATCCTTCACCAAATATACGTATGCGTATAGAGTATGGTAAAGATAGAATAAAGAAGGAAAAAGAAATGGTAAAGATAGAATAAATGAGGAAAAAACAAGAGCTGCGTTTCAATCTCAGTCAAGCCCCTCATCAAAGCTGCATCGAGTTCCGTGAATTAACTCCAGCGGCACCGGCCCAAGTTTGATTGGTCTAAATTACACGCAAACAGTTCGACTATAACTTGTTGCCACGCTGCGGAAGTTTTGTTTTCCGAGGCACAATTTCGCGAACGCTTAGCCCCGGCGGGGCGGGAGAATTGGCGCTGTACGCGTTTCAGTTCCGACGTAGAAATGGCGAAGGCAAAAATAGTTAAAGGTTATACAATTTCCTGAGTATACTATTCTATAAACACCATTAAATAGATAAAGAATTGGTTCAGATGATAATCATAATTACGATAAATAATGAAGATTGTATTAGTGGAGTCTTAATGTTTCACTAAACATCAAATAATGCAATACTAAAATGATAATTATAACTCTGTCTTTGAGTTATTTTTTTGTATTTTTATCGTCTGTGGTAGGGCCACACGTCAGCCTTGGCTGTTGCACGGGTAGGCTTGTCCGCGTAAGTACCACGACCTCATAGAAGACCGGCGCGATGTGGAAGTATAATACTTTCGCGTTTCGTCTGGTGAGTGAGGTAGCCGGAGCACAATTTCAAAAGGTTATCAACGCATCTGCACCCCTCGGGTGTAGCAGATGTCCATGGGCGGTGGTATTCACTTATCCTCAGGTGAACCGTCTGCTCGTTTGGAAAATATTCACATAAAAAAAAATGACTGCTCAATAGGTTTAATGTCGAATGCATTAACCAATTGTCATTATAATCATTTGTCCTAACCAATATATAAAATAGTAGACCAGACAAATTATGTAAAAGCTGACGGTAGCCTGTTATAAATGGTATGGTACTTACCCGGACGAGCCTGCCCATTCGTGCAACAGCCGAGGCCGCTGCGTGGCTTTACCACCGTTAAATCGGTGATCAAAAAAGTCATCGCGTGATTGAGATCCCAATTTAATTGTTATTATCATCGTAAATAAATTTTGATTTTTTCGTTTTATGCGATAATTTAAATATCAAATTAAAACGCGATAATATCAAAAAAAAATAATGGGAGGAGGAGGCAAACGCGCAAGCGGCAATTGCAAACTCGGTTTAGTCACAATTGCGATGCCAGCCTTTAAGGTGGGATTAGGCTCTCTTCCTGAGGGTCCTTAAGTGGTATCGTAAGTAAAATTCAAGAGCAAATTTACTCTGGTTGACGCACTCAGTGACAATCAAAAAAAATCCCACCATTTCACGTAAACAATCGAATCGATGCCTGAAAGTAACTTACAGCGAAGGCAAAAAGTGCGGAGCAATCGTCGTTCATAACAGAATATCAATATATTCCCAAAATCTGTCACGAGTCGCGAGAACACATTGAGCCGATGGCAGCGTTCGCTTTGCAAGCAAATATTCACGCCTAGATTCAAATCGAGTGTCAATTTGGTAGGAATTGAAGGGAGGAATAAATGTTGGATGCATGATAATATCACGGTTGCTAAGGAAAATGTGACGTATGTAGACACAGAACTGTGCCAAATATTCCTTGTGATGAATAATGTTTATGTAAATATCCTGATCTTTATGTCTGGATTTTATAAAACACTAGCTGCTGCCCGCGACTACGTCTGCGTAGAGGGGTGAAAATTTAGGGTTGTATGTATTTTTGTATGTTGTATCATAAAAAAATAGAAATTAAAAATTTTGTCAAAAAAATAAAAAATAAAAATTTAGGGGTGGACTACCCCTAACATTTAGGGGGATGCAAAATAGATGTTGGCCGATTCTCATAGATACCGGATAAGCACAAAAAATTTCATCAAAATCGGTCAAGCCGTTTCGGAGGAGTATGGCAACGAAAACTGTGACACGAGAATTTTATATATTAGATTTTTAGATATCTTATATACGACAGAAAAAAAGTAAGCCACCTTCATTAATAATGCGTTTGATAAAGTTGTGTAAGTCAAGTGCACTGTCGAATGTCTATGTCTGTTTCATGTGTGGTATACATATATTTTAAATGACTCCGTGGCGCAGTCGTCAAGGTATTGCCTTCGGCGTCGGGGGTCGTGGGTTCGATTCCCTCACGGGAATACTATTTGTGTGAACCACCGATAGTTGTTTCGCACCTGGGTGTTTGTCCTCGTGCAACTTATGTATGTAAACACAGGATAATGTTATCCTAAAGTGAGAGCAATGTCTTTCAAAAATAAAAAAAAATCTGTTATAAATAAATCTAGATGTTACAAACTTCCTTGATTAGTTATTTTTAATTAGTAATAAGTTCTTTTTAATTCCTGTACTCTGGTATGTTGGTATTCACAGGTTACATTTATTTTTTTATTTATCTTGTATCACATTATCCTTGGAGTAATCGCGATAATGACTAGAAAAAAGGTACAAAAGTCACTTTCCAATTTTCATTTCCCGTTTACACTACATATAAATTTCAGTTCTTTTTGTTATGTTAACTTTCTAATACCTTACTGACATAAGCAGATAAATATATCTGAGATGAAGATGCTATCGGTTACTGTCTATTCTTTTCGCATCAGCGGCTTAAAAACTTTAAATAAAATTTGGACGAGACTTTGAAATATTGTAAACGATGGATTTAAATTTTATATTCTGCAATTTACCAATCTACAAAAATGTACAAAACCATACTCGTATGATTTTAAAAAGAAAGACGTGCAAAAAACGTTGCGTAAAAGCTTGTCGTGTAAACATCATCTCACCCCTCTAACGCACTCCGCAGACTTCTCCGAGCGTTGACGCACGTCATAAATGTTAAATCCTGCCTAATAACGGCGGGTACGTTGTTACAACGCACGCGCCGAACAACAAACAACAAGTATTTACATATCTTACACCTGAGCCCGTATATTGCTAAAGTTCATAGCTTTTAAATTCGCACGCCTTTAGTGTCCCCCTCCGATGGAAGGAGATGGAAATAAGATGTTCCTGCTCTCCATACCAATTATTGTTTCTGAATTTCCTGTGACACATGTGACCAGTAACATCAGCTATTAGTTTCTAGTTCTATAATGGAAGGCTCAGCTCAGAATAAACTAGCTGTTCCTCGAATGTGAAGAGACAACCGCTATCTGGCACCCGCGAACATAGAAGATGTATTCGGCAAACTTTTATGAAGGAGGCTAGGTCTCTGATCAAATAGTAATGGTGATACTTTACGACGATACTCTATGAGTTTCTTGCCGGTTCTTCTCTGTGCAGGTCTAGTTTAGTGAACCGGTGGTAGATTTTTGTTGACGTTCAATAAGAGCTTAAGTTAGGCTTATATTGAATAAATATACTTTGACTTTGATTTTGACTTTTATGAGGCTGTGATACTAAAAAAATTCGACAAGAGGACAAAAGGCCCACTGAATCACAGCAGCAGCATTCACAACAGAAATCTGTTGTGAATGCTTTTGCTGTGAAACCCGCACTCCAGCTATTTAGCTGGCGTGCATGTATTGAAAAAAAGGTTTCTCCTTAAACTGTTGTTAACGTGCTAAGACAGTTACTGCTCAACACGATTTACATTTCATATCTTTTTTTAAGGGAGAAGGTGGCAATAGGGCTGTTAGTTCACTTGATGTTAAGTGATAACCGCTCCACATGGACATTAGCAACACATTAGGGTTAGCAGATGCGTCACTACCTTATAATAAAGTGGGCCCAGTAGTTAGTTATTATTTAAAATACGAGAGATACTTTACAAGATTGAGATGTGTGACGACCTAATATCTTATGTACAAAGTTTTAAATGTTTACAGGTTATCAATTGCCGGTATTCTTGGAGTGAGTTTTAATAATTATTCCATTGAAGCAAATTTAAAAGCGATAAAATCCGTACCAACGAAACTTCTTACCGTTTTATATTAAACGCGTGACAAGCGATGGGCCTGTCATCATAAACGACAATGCATATTAAGGCTTGATTTATTTAAGGCGCTTAATGATTTTGAATGACGCGTCAGCGGCGTTATTACAATGATGATACGCGCGAATTAATGTGGTGTAACATTGATAAATTGCAATACTAATTAGGGAGTGACTGTGCATACGCTGTTGTAACATATGGCT